GAAGAGCCTTGTCCTCACCATCAGTAGTGACCAGGGTGAACAGCCTTGTCCTCACCATCAGTAGTGACCAGGGTGAACAGCCTTGTCCTCACCATCACCAGTGACCAGGGTGAAGAGCCTTGTCCTCACCATCAGTAGTGACCAGGGTGAACAGCCTTGTCCTCACCATCACCAGTGACCAGGGTGAAGAGCCTTGTCCTCACCATCAGTAGTGACCAGGGTGAACAGCCTTGTCCTCACCATCAGTAGTGACCAGGGTGAACAGCCTTGTCCTCACCATCACCAGTGACCAGGGTGAACAGCCTTGTCCTCACCATCAGTAGTGACCAGGGTGAACAGCCTTGTCCTCACCATCAGTAGTGACCAGGGTGAAGAGCCTTGTCCTCACCATCACCAGTGACCAGGGTGAAGAGCCTTGTCCTCACCATCAGTAGTGACCAGGGTGAACAGCCTTGTCCTCACCATCAGTAGTGACCAGGGTGAAGAGCCTTGTCCTCACCATCACCAGTGACCAGGGTGAAGAGCCTTGTCCTCACCATCAGTAGTGACCAGGGTGAACAGCCTTGTCCTCACCATCAGTAGTGACCAGGGTGAACAGCCTTGTCCTCACCATCAGTAGTGACCAGGGTGAACAGCCTTGTCCTCACCATCACCAGTGACCAGGGTGAACAGCCTTGTCCTCACCATCAGTAGTGACCAGGGTGAACAACCTTGTCCTCACCATCACCTGTGACCAGGGTGAAGAGCCTTGTCCTCACCATCAGTAGTGACCAGGGTGAAGAGCCTTGTCCTCACCATCAGTAGTGACCAGGGTGGACAGCCTTGTCCTCACCATCAGTAGTGACCAGGGTGAACAGCCTTGTCCTCACCATCAGTAGTGACCAGGGTGAACAGCCTTGTCCTCACCATCACCAGTGACCAGGGTGAACAACCTTGTCCTCACCATCACCTGTGACCAGGGTGAACAGCCTTGTCCTCACCATCAGTAGTGACCAGGGTGAACAGCCTTGTCCTCACCATCAGTAGTGACCAGGGTGAACAGCCTTGTCCTCACCATCAGTAGTGACCAGGGTGAACAGCCTTGTCCTCACCATCACCTGTGACCAGGGTGAACCTTTCCAGCCACAAGAAGAGGTTCTAGGGGGGCACCTGGTCCTGTGTGGCCCTTGTGGGTACCCAGGGAGGTGACAAAGGGTCAGACCCTCCCCTGGGGGGCCTGGGCCCCATTGAAGTGGTGACCCCCTCTCTATCCCCCCCCAGCTGAAGCAGGAGACCCAGTCCCTGTGCTGCTGCCTCCTGCTCGTGTCCGAGGACAACCACCAGCTCTTCTGCCAGGTGGGTCCCAGCGTGATCCCCCCACCCTGATCCTATGGGGCCTCTTGCACCCCCTAACCCATCTCCATGGGGCTCGGCCGCCATCCCATGGGTTCTCCTCCCCACATCTCTTGTAGGTGGTGGGGGACCGTGTCCTGGAGGAGGAGATCAGCTTCTCGGTGAGTGGGGTGATGAGGGCTGGGGGGCAATGGGTGCCACGGGCTCACCTGTCCCCTCCACACGCAGCTCACCTTCGGGCGCCTGGGGCAAGTGGTGGAGGACAAGAAGTCCATCACCTTGAAGGACATCAGCGAGGTGGGTCCCATCCCGGGCCCGGATGGGGACACGGTTGTGTGAGTGTCCCCCTCGGTGTCCCACGGGGCGCCCATCTCCCCTGCTCCCACAGGAGGAGCACAGGCAGCTGAGCAGCATGCTGGGCTGCGAGGTCACCTCCATGCTCTGCGTCCCCGTCATCAGCCGCGCCACCTCCCAGGTGGTGGCATTGGCCTGCGCCTTCAACAAGCTGAGCGGTGAGAGGTGAGCTGGGGACCCGGACCCCTTCCAGGTGCCCTTTGGGTACCCCCGTGGGGCGAGGGCTGGGCCGTTCGCTCTGGGCCCTACTGAGGGCTCTGTCTTGGTGTCCCCCTTGGGCTCTTGTCCCCCCCTGCAGCTATACAGAGGCGGACGAGCACAAGATCCAGCACTGCTTCTGCTACACCTCCACGGTGCTCACCAGCACCTTGGCCTTCCAGAAGGAGCAGAAGCTCAAGTGCGAGTGCCAGGTGAGGAGCACACCTGAGGCCGTGTCATGCCAAGCACACGCGTGTGCCCCGTGTCGCGGCGGGTGCTGACCCTGGCCCCTCTGTCCCCGCCAGGCGCTGCTGCAGGTGGCAAAGAACCTCTTCACCCACTTGGGTAGGTGCTGGTGCGGGAGCAGCGCTGAGGGTGCTGCCGGGACACGGTCACAGGGGGGTGGCCGGGGGCTTGCACTGGTGCTGCATGGGTGCACACGGCATGAGCACGGAGCGCTGTGTGCACGCAGGGATGGGTGTGCACGCGTGTGCTGCTGCAGGCACACTGCCGCACATAGACATGCACTGCTGCATGTATGTACTGCTGCATGAACACTAATACACTGCTGTGCACACGCTGCTGCACGCACATGCACTGCTGCACGCACACTGCCACACATACACATGCACTGCTGCATGTATGTACTGCTGCATGAACACTAATACACTGCTGTGCACACGCTGCTGCACGCACATGCACTGCTGCACGCACACTGCCACACATACACATGCACTGCTGCATGTATGTACTGCTGCATGAACACTAAGACACTGCTGTGCACACGCTGCTGCACGCACATGCACTGCTGCACGCACACTGCCACACATACACATGCACTGCTGCATGTATGTACTGCTGCATGAACACTAAGACACTGCTGTGCACACGCTGCTGCACGCACATGCACTGCTGCACGCACACTGCCACACATACACATGCACTGCTGCATGTATGCACTGCTGCATGTATGTACTGCTGCATGTACACTAATGAACTGCTGCACGCGCACGCACTGCTGCACACGCAAAGCACTGCTGCCTGCACACTGCCTGCACACACATGCACGGATGCACACACACATGCCCTGCTGCACATGCCCTGCATGCACACATACATGCACTGCTACACACACACACACTACTGCACATGCACTGATGCACACACACCTGCACCGCTGCATTCACACTGCTGCGCGCACATGCACTGCATGCACATGCCCTGCTGCACACACACGCTGCACAGGCTGCTGCCGACTTGCATGGGCTCTGTCACCGTCTGGTGTGCACACACACATGCACGCACACATGTGCACACACACACGCACACATGCACACACATACAAGTCCACACGCATGCTCCCATGCCCCTGCAGTGGGGGGGTGCAGGCAGAGCCCCCCCTTTCACAGCATGGGTGGGCAGGGGAAGCGGGGGGGGGGTACTCGGGCAGTCCCTGCGTGCCCCGGCTCCCTGACCCCCCCTCCCCGCAGACGACGTCTCCGTTCTGCTCCAGGAGATCATCACCGAGGCGCGAAACCTCAGCAACGCCGAGATGTGAGTGAGCCCCTGGGGGGGGCACGGGGGGGGGGGGGGGTGTGGGTGACACCATTGGGTGCTGGGACCCCCCCACGGGTGCCAGCAGCGTCAGCATCTGTTCCAGCTGCTCCGTGTTCCTGCTGGACCGGCTCAGCCACGAGCTGGTGGCCAAAGTGTTTGATGGAGGAGTGGTGGACGATGAGGTGAGCGCGGGGAGCGCAGGAGGGGGCTTGGGGGGTGCCCGGGGCCCTGTCCCCAGAGTGATGTGGAATCAGGGAATGGGTTGGGATGAAGGGAGCTTAAAGCTCATCTAAAGCCACGGGCAGGGACCCCTTCCATAGAGCAGCTTGCTCCAAGCCCCTGTGTCCAACCTGGCCTTGAGCACTGCCAGGGATGGGGCAGCCACAGCTTCTCTGGGCACCCTGTGCCAGCGCCTCAGCACCCTCCCAGGGAAGAGCTTCTGCCTTATCTCCAACCTGAACTTCCCCTGTTTCAGTTTGAACCCATCACCCCTTGTCCTATCACTGCAGTCCCTGATGAAGAGTCCCTCCCCAGCATCCTTGCAGCCCCCTTCACACACTGGAAGCTGCTCTGAGGTCTCCTCACAGCTTCTCTTCTCCAGGCTGAGCCCCAGTGTCCTCAGCCCGGCTCCCCATGGCCCGCAGCGCACAGCTCGGTGCCACCACAGGCGCGCTGACGGTGCCTCCTCAATCCGTGTCCCTGCTGCAGAGCTACGAGATCCGCATCCCCGCGGACCAGGGCATCGCCGGGCACGTGGCCACCACCGGCAAGATCCTCAACATCAAGGACGCCTATTCCCACCCGCTCTTCTACCGCGGCGTGGACGACAGCACCGGCTTCCGCACCAGGAACATCCTCTGCTTCCCCATCAAGAACGAGAGCCAGGGTGAGGGCTGCTGGGGGCACGGGGACGGCGCCCGCGGTGGGAGATGGGGTCCGTGTGTGTGGTGGTGGAAGGGTGCCCTGGGGCGTGGGGGCAGCATCCGGCCCTGGCACACGGGCACTAATGTTGGCCCAAGGATGTGGCCGCCGTCCTGTCCCTCAGCGCATGGGCACAGGGCTTGTCCCCTGCCCGTGGGCACAGCACTGTCAACAGCATCTGGGTACCGCTCCGGTGGCACGGTGCTGTCCCCAGAACACGGGCATGATCCTGTCCCCAGAACGTGGGCACAGCACTGTCCCTGGTACACAGACACAGTCCTGGCCATAGCACACAGGTACAATCCTGTCCCTCTTACATGGGCACAATCCTGTCCCCAGAACGTGGGCACAGCACTGTCAACAGCATCTGGGTACCATTCCAGTGGCATGATGCTGTCCTCAGCACATGGGCATGATCCTGTCCCTTGCCCATGGGTACAGCACTGTTCCTGGTACACAGACACAATCCTGGCCATAGCACACAGGTACAATCCTGTCCCTCTTACATGGGCACAATCCTGTCCCCAGAACGTGGGCACAGCAATGTTCCAGGTACATGGGCACCATCCTGTCCCCAGCCCATGGGCACCATCCTGTCCCCAGCCCATGGGCACCATCCTGTCCCCAGCCATGGGCACAGCAGTGTTCTAGGTACATGGGCACCATCCTGTCCCCAGCCATGGGTACAGCAGTGTTCCAGGTACATGGGCACCATCCTGTCCCCAGCCCATGGGTACAGCAGTGTTCCAGGTACATGGGCACCATCCTGTCCCCAGCCATGGGTACAGCAGTGTTCCAGGTACATGGGCACCATCCTGTCCCCAGCCATGGGTACAGCAGTGTTCCAGGTACATGGGCACCATCCTGTCCCCAGCCATGGGCACAGCAGTGTTCCAGGTACATGGGCACCATCCTGTCCCCAGCCATGGGTACAGCAGTGTTCCAGGTACATGGGCACCATCCTGTCCCCAGCCATGGGTATAGCAGTGTTCCAGGTACATGGGCACCATCCTGTCCCCAGCCATGGGCACAGCAGTGTTCCAGGTACATGGGCACCATCCTGTCCCCAGCCATGGGTATAGCAGTGTTCCAGGTACATGGGCACCATCCTGTCCCCAGCCCATGGGTACAGCACTGTTCCAGGTACATGGGCACCATCCTGTCCCCAGCCATGGGCACAGCACTGTTCCAGGTACATGGGCACCATCCTGTCCCCAGCCATGGGTACAGCAGTGTTCCTGGTACATGGGCACCATCCTGTCCCCAGCCATGGGCACAGAAGTGTTCCTGGTACATGGGCACCATCCTGTCCCCAGCCATGGGCACCATCCTGTCCCTAGCCATGGGTACAGCAGTGTTCCTGGTACATGGGCACCATCCTGTCCCCAGCCATGGGTACAGCAGTGTTCCAGGTACATGGGCACCATCCTGTCCCCAGCCATGGGTACAGCAGTGTTCCTGGTACATGGGCACCATCCTGTCCCCAGCCATGGGTACAGCAGTGTTCCAGGTACATGGGCACCATCCTGTCCCCAGCCATGGGTACAGCAGTGTTCCTGGTACATGGGCACCATCCTGTCCCCAGCCATGGGTACAGCAGTGTTCCAGGTACATGGGCACCATCCTGTCCCCAGCCATGGGCACAGCACTGTTCCAGGTACATGGGCACCATCCTGTCCCCAGCCATGGGTACAGCAGTGTTCCAGGTACATGGGCACCATCCTGTCCCCAGCCATGGGTACAGCAGTGTTCCAGGTACATGGGCACCATCCTGTCCCCAGCCATGGGTACAGCAGTGTTCCAGGTACATGGGCACCATCCTGTCCCCAGCCATGGGCACAGCAGTGTTCCAGGTACATGGGCACCATCCTGTCCCCAGCCATGGGCACAGCAGTGTTCCAGGTACATGGGCACCATCCTGTCCCCAGCCATGGGCACAGCAGTGTTCCTGGTACATGGGCACCATCCTGTCCCCAGCCATGGGTACAGCAGTGTTCCAGGTACATGGGCACCATCCTGTCCCCAGCCATGGGCACAGCAGTGTTCCAGGTACATGGGCACCATCCTGTCCCCAGCCATGGGCACAGCAGTGTTCCAGGTACATGGGCACCATCCTGTCCCCAGCCATGGGCACAGAAGTGTTCCTGGTACATGGGCACCATCCTGTCCCCAGCCATGGGTACAGCAGTGTTCCTGGTACATGGGCACCATCCTGTCCCAAACGCACAGGCGCAGCTTTGTCCTCAGCGCATGGGTGTGATCCTGTCCCTAGCACAGGGGCACGATCCTGTCCCCAGCTTGCGGGCACCACCCTCTTCCCATTGTCCCTGGGCCCCATCCTGTCCCCAGCATCACCGCCCGCAGCCCAGGGGCCCCATCCTGTCCCCAGGCATGGGCCTGATCCTGCCCCTGTGCCCCTCCGTCTCCCTGCAGAGGTGATCGGGGTGGCGGAGCTGGTGAACAAGATCAACGGGCCCTGGTTCAGCAAGTTCGATGAGGACCTGGCCACCGCCTTCTCCATCTACTGCGGCATCAGCATCGCCCATGTATGAGGAGGGGTGAACAACGGGGGGCGAGGGGGAGCCGGGGGGCACAGCACAGGGATGATGGGGGGACATTGTGTGGTCCCCGTTCCTTGGGGATAAGCGGTGGAGGGGATGGGATGGGGTGAGATGGGATGGGATGGGATAAAATGGGAGGAGATGGGTTGGGATGGGATGGGATGGGTTGGGATAGGATAAAATGGGATGAGATGGATTGGGATGGGATGAAATGAAATGGGATGGGATAAAATGGGATGAGATAGGATGGGATGAGACGGATTGTGATTGGATGGGATGGGATGGAATGGAATGAGATGAGATGGGATGTGATGGGGTGGGATGGGATAGGATGTGATGGGATGGGAATGGGATGGTATGAGGTGGGATGGAATAAGATGGGGATGGGATGGATGGGATTAGATGGGATAGGATGGGATAGGATGGAATGGGATGGGATGGAATGGGATGCGATGGATGGGATGGGATGGCATGGGATGGCATGGGAAGGGAAGGGATGGATGGGGAGGGCACACATGGATGTGCTGGCTGACTGGGAGGTACTGGGAGGCTTTGGGGTCCCCTCCAGAGCTCCATAACCCCCCTCCCACCCCCCAGTCTCTGCTCTACAAGAAGGTGAACGAGGCGCAGTACCGCAGCCACTTGGCCAACGAGATGATGATGTACCACATGAAGGTGAGGGGACGCGGGGACAGGGATGGGGACACGAGCTGGGACCCCCCCCACCACCACCATGGTGCCCCCCACCCCACCCCACGGTGGTGACCCAATGTGGCGGAGGGGTCCCGGGGATGCTGTGGCCCCAGGGACAGCGTGGGGACCCCTGGGGACCTGCTCGCGCCGCAGGTGTCGGATGATGAGTACACGAAGCTGCTGAACGAGGGCATCCAGCCCGTGGCCACCATCGACCCCAACTTCGCCAACTTCACCTACACCCCGCGCTCGCTGCCCGAGGATGACACCTCCATGGTGAGGACTGTGGGGATGGTCCCAAAATGCAGCTGCCTGCCGGGGGGGGGTGGACACCCTGCTGGGCACTGTCACCCACTGCCACCCCCCTGTCCCCTCCCCAGGCCATCCTGAGCATGCTGCAGGACATGAACTTCATCAACACCTACAAGATGGACCGTCAGACGCTCACCAGGTGGGTCCCCATCCCTCTCCTCATCCTTGTCATCATCCCCATCCTTATCCTTATCCTTATCCTTATCCTTATTCTTATCCTTATCCTTGTTATCTTTATCCTTCCCCTTATCCTTGTTGCAATCCTTATCCTTGTTGTTATCCTTATCCTTATCTTCCTTGTCTTTGTCCTTATCCTTATCCTTATCCTTATCCTTATCCTTATCCTTATCCTTATCCTTATCCTTATCCTTATCCTTATCCTTGTTATCTTTATCCTTCCCCTTATCCTTGTTGTAATCCTTATCCTTGTTGTTATCCTTATCCTTATCTTCCTTGTCTTTGTCCTTATCCTTATCCTTATCCTTATCCTTACCCTTGTCCTTGTCCTTGTCCTTGTCCTTTTCCTTGTCCTTGTCCTTATCCTTCTCGTTATAGTTATCGTTATCCTTGTCCTTATCCTTATCCTTATCCTTATCCTTATCCTTATCCTTATCCTTACCCTTACTGTTACCCTTCTCCTTCTCCTTCTCCTTCTCCTTGTTATAGTTATCCTTATCCTTATCCTTATCCTTATCCTTATCCTTATCCTTATCCTTACCCTTACTCTTATCCTTATCCTTATCCTTACCCTTATCTTTACCCTTATCCTTATCCTTACCCTTATCCTTACCCTCCTTGTCCTTGTCCTTGTCCTTGTCCTCATCCCTATCCCCATCCTTATGCTTCTCCCCATCCCCATCCCCATCCCATCCTGCCGGGGTCCACCCAGCCAAGTGAAGGTCCCCATGGGTACAAAGTCCCCCCAACCCATGTCCCTGTGTCCCCCCCAGGTTCTGCCTGATGGTGAAGAAGGGCTACCGGGACCCCCCGTACCACAACTGGATGCACGCCTTCTCCGTCTCCCACTTCTGCTACCTGCTCTACAAGAACCTGGAGCTCGTCAACTACCTGGAGTAAGGCTGGAGCCCGTCCCCGTGCCCTGTCCCCATGGGGTGTTCCCTGCCCTCCCGCCTGCCTCAGTTTCCCTCCTTCCCCCATCTCAGAGACATCGAGATCTTTGCCCTCTTCATCTCCTGCATGTGCCACGACCTGGACCACAGAGGCACCAATAACTCCTTCCAGGTGGCCTCGGTGAGCCGAGCCCGGCGCTGGGACGCGCAGGGGTTGTGGGGACAGGGATGGAGACGGGGCCCGGGGGGTTCTGCACCCCCATAACCCCATGGATCCCACCTCTTTGCCTTGCAGAAATCAGTCCTGGCTGCGCTGTACAGCTCAGAGGGCTCCGTCATGGAGGTAAGGTCCACCCTGGCCGTGGTGGTGGGGCAGGACCCTGCCTGCACCCTGCCTGCTCCATGGTCCCGTCTCCTCCTGCAGCGGCATCACTTTGCCCAAGCCATCGCCATCCTCAACAGCCAAGGCTGCAACATCTTTGACCACTTCTCCCGCAAGGTGAGCCCCAAAGCTTGGTCCCTCTTCCACGCGGAGCATCCCACATCCCACCGGAGCTCCCCGTCCCTGCATCCGGCTCTTGGGATGCTGGTAGTCACCTTGCCTGGCCCTGCAGGACTACCAGCGCATGCTGGACCTCATGAGGGACATCATCCTGGCCACCGACCTGGCGCATCACCTCCGCATCTTCAAGGACCTCCAGAAGATGGCAGAAGGTGAAGACCACGGGATAAGGGGTTGTGGTGGGACCTCAGCCCACCAAGGCTGGGAGTTGGCACCGCTGGTCCCCATAGTCCTCATGCAAGGGGTGATGGGGGCTGTGGGGCTCCTTCCTGAGCCCCCCAACCCCTGCCCCACAGTGGGCTACGACCCCAAGAACAAGCAGCACCACAGCCTCTTGCTCTGCCTGCTCATGACTTCCTGCGACCTCTCCGACCAGACCAAGGGCTGGAAGACCACCAGGAAGATTGCGGTGAGCGTCCCACCGTGGGGCTGACCCCTTAGGAGCTGCCCCATAGCACCTGCATGTCCCCCAGCACTGGAACCGACCCGCCCCCCATCATGTCCTAGGGAAGTGGTTCCTCCATGAAGGGACCCCATGGCCACGCAGTAGCTCCCCATGCCGGGAGCCTCATGGGGACATGGAGAGGGGTCTGGGGGGTGGATGGGGTGGGGGGGTCACCCCGGTGTGCACCCCTCCATGCTGACAGCCTGTCCCTTGCAGGAGCTGATCTACAAGGAGTTCTTCTCCCAGGGTGACCTGGTAGGTGGCACCAAGGCTTGGGCTTGGCCAATGCTCTTGGCAAGCACCAAAGGGGCTTGGGTGAGGTGGGAGGTGGAACAGGGAGGTCTGGCCCAGAGATGTTATGGCTGCCCCATCCCTGGCAGTGTTCAAGGCCAGGTTGGACACAGGGGCTTGGAGCAAGCTGCTCTATGGAAGGGGTCCCTGACATGGCCCCACCTCCATATTTATCCTTCTCCCCATCCCCATCTCCATCCCCATCCCCATCCCTATCCCCATCCTCATCCCTATCTCTACTCCCATCCTCATCTCCATCTCTATCCCCATCCTTGTTCCCATCCTTTTCTTTGTCCCAATCCCCATCCTTGTCCCAATCCCCATCCTTGTTCCCATCTCCATCCTTATCTTTGTCCCCATCCCCATCCTTGTCCCAATCCCCATCCTTGTTCCCATCTCCATCCTTGTCTTTGTCCCCATCCCCATCCTTGTCCCCATCCCCATCCTTTTCCCCATCCCCATCCTTGTCCCAATCCCCATCCTTGTTCCCATCCCCATCCTTGTCCCAATCCCCATCCTTGTTCCCATCTCCATCCTTATCTTTGTCCCCATCCCCATCCTTGTCCCCATCCCCATCCTTGTCCCAATCCCCATCCTTTTCCCCATCCCCATCCTTGTCCCAATCCCCATCCTTGTTCCCATCCCCATCCTTGTCCCAATCCCCATCCTTGTTCCCATCTCCATCCTTATCTTTGTCCCCATCCCTATCCTTGTCCCCATCCCCATCTCTATCCTTCTGTCTATTCCCATCCCATCCTCACCCCCATCATGTCCGGGGTTTGCAACTGGATGAGCATTAAGCTCCCTTCCAACCCAAGCCATCCCATGATGGTCTGACTGGAGAAGGGATGACCATTGCCATTGACCATCTCTACAGGAGAAGGCCATGGGCAACCGCCCGCTGGAGATGATGGACCGGGAGAAAGCCTACATCCCGGAGCTGCAGATCAGCTTCATGGAGCACATCGCCATGCCCATCTACAAGTGAGCACCCCCGTGGCTGCTGGGTCTTACCCACGCTGTGGGGCTCCCGAGCGGCGTGGTCGCACCTCGGCGGGTTCAGCCCCACGCTGATGGGTTCTCCCCCTATAGGTTGCTCCAGGACCTCTTCCCGAAGGCATCGGAGCTCTATGAGAGGGTGGCCAGCAACCGGGAGCAGTGGACGAAGGTGTCCCACAAGTTCACCATCCGCGGCCTGCCCAGCAACAACTCCTTGGACTTCCTGGATGAGGAATACGACCCCCAGCTCAATGGATGCCTGGAGCCCGAGGGGGGACACCCCATGGCAGGGGCTGAGTGAAGGGGGTGACGGGGGGGACACCATGGATGGTCCCGTCCCGTCCCCCCCCAGCCCACGGGGAGGAGGTTGTGGGGTGGTGGGGATGGACACGAGTGACTGGAGCACCATGGCGAGGGCTCAGCCATCACCCACCTCCCCTCCAGCGGGGACTGTCCCCTTCCTGTGGGTGTTCATTCAGGTGTCACCTTCACCTTGGGGCCCTCTTTGGTGGGACTCTGCCTTGGGGCCCTGTGGGGACACTATGGGGACGCCATAGGGCTGGGTGTGCTTTCAACTGCCTTAAGGCTGCAGGTTTTGTCTCCATAGGGTGACAACGGGGACGATGTCCTCAATGGAAGCACCCTCAAAGGGTTCTCACCTGAAATGGGGTCAATGGGATGGAGGGGGATGAGGGGCAATGGGAGTGCTGGTGATGGGGTGAATAGCGTGGGGACATCCCTATGGACCCCAAAGGTGGAGCCAAGGCTGGGGAGGTGGGATGGGAGTGCTGGGGATGGAGGAGCCAGGATGAGACCCATGGAAAGAGGCTGGATCTACATAGAGGAGGCATCTGGGGCAGGATGCCCATGACCATGGCGATGCTCTGCCTGCATCCAGCCCCACCACACTGGAGAACCCCCCTGCTTCTAACCCCCCATCACCCATGGGAGGCCCCGTGTCTTTCACCCAGCCTGGTCCCACCAAACCATGACCCCTGCAAGGGCTACACCCGTGCCAAGGCTGCAGGATTGGTCCCCACCACGTGGTGTCTCTGTGGCTCAGCACCGTGGTGCCCATCCTGGAGCCTCCTTGCTGCAAGTGGCTGCACCAGTGACCAACCCGTCCATGGCATCACCCCGCTGTGGCCACCATGCATGGACCCCACCATTGTCCCTCTGGTCCTATAGACCACCATGCATGGACCCTGATGGTCTCCTGTGGCCCCTCTGGTCCTATAGACCACCATGCATGGACCCTGATGGTCTCCTGTGGCCCCTCTGGTCCTGCAGAGCACCATGCATGGACCCTGATGGTCTCCTGTGGCCCCTCTGGTCCTATAGACCACCATGCATGGACCCTGATGGTCTCCTGTGGCCCCTCTGGTCCTATAGACCACCATGCATGGACCCTGATGGCTTCTTGTGGTCCTTCTGGTCCCATCAACTGCCATGCATGGACCTTACCATCCTCCCATGGACCCTCTGGTCCCACGGACCACCATGCATGGACAGCAATGGCCTCCTGTGGTCTCCCTGGTCCTACTTAGCACCATGCATGGATCCTGATGGTTTCCTGTGGTCCCTCTGGCCATGCATGGACCCTGCCAGTGTCCCACCACCCCTCCTGCCTTGCTGCCTGATGCATATGGACCCCACCATCCTCCTGTGGTCCTGTTGACCACCATGCATGGACAGTGATGCCCTCCTGTGGTCCCTCCTGTCCTACCAACCACCATGCATGGACCCCGATGGTCTCCTGTGGTCCTTCTAACCCATCAATCACCATGCATGGACCCTTCTGGCCACCCCATGGTCCCCCCAGCCCCACCACCAGATACGTGTGGACCCCCCTGCTCCATCAGCCCCACAGTGTCCCTCCAGGTCTTTGTCACCCCACTTAAAGCCACCCAAACCAGCCATGAGCAGGAGAACCAGGGCAGGGGGAGCCAGGAATGAGGCATTGGGGTGCACCGAGCCCCTCTGGCTGCTCCATCCAGCCCATGGGAGCCGATGGCTCCATCACCACCACCACGGCAGAGGAAGGTGATGGAAGCAGCACGGTGAAGTCCTGGCTCTACTGGGGTTGGTCCCGATGGGGTTGGTCCCACCAGGATCAAGGGCAGCTTGGCCTGGTCTCTGGGGTGCCCTGGAGCACACGTGTCTATGGGAGCATCAGGAGAACCTCGCCATGGACAAAGAGAACTCAATTCCTTTTGCCTTACCTACTCGGAGATGCCTTTGCCCAAACCCTGGTAGGACCCATGCGGTGACCACGTTGGCTGCTGGCTTCTCCTACAAGACCCCCCAAGCCCTTGGCCACCATGAGATGACACAAGGGGGGATATGGATGGTCCCACAAGCAGCGAACCCCCCCCCCACTGCAAGAGGAGGAGGGTGGCTCCATCCCTGGTGTGACACCAGCGTGGTCACGGACCAAAGTTCCTCATCCAGCCGGTACCTGCATCCCGGAGCCAGTGAGGGAGCCTCACACCCCAGACGGGTGCCGATGGATGCGGGGATGCGGATCCCGCCTGGGGTGCCGCGTCCCGGGTACCACGCGGCGGCGGAGCGCCGGTCCCCGGCCGCATCCCGCTTTCCCAGCCCCTGCCGCTGGTGGGCGCTGCTCCCCCGGTTCCCGGGCAGATCCCGGTGGATACCGGGCGGCGGAGCCTCCGCCGGCTCCTCCGTGCCCCGCTCGCGGCGCTGCTTGTGCTGGGCTCCAGCGGAGCCCGAGGAGGCGAATCTGCTCCTCCTGCTCCCGCTTTGTCTCCTTCTTCTCTTTATTCTTCTCTTCCTCCTCCTTCTCCTCTTCCTTATCCTCCTCCCTCCCCTTCTCCTTGCCTCCTCTCCTTCTGTACTTCTTGTTCTTCTCGTTTTTCTCCTCCCTGTCTTCTTTTCTCCTTCTCCTCCCTTTCCCCTTCTCCTCCTCCTTGTTATTCTCATCTACCCCTTCTCCTCCCTCCTTGTTATTCTCATCTTCCCCTTCTCCTCCTTCTTCTTCCCCTTCTTCTTCTCGTTCTTCTCCTCCTCCCCTTCTTGTTTTCTCCTCCTCCTCCTTCTCATTCCCCTTCTCCTCCTTGTTCTTCCACTCCTCCCAGTCTTCTTCTCCTCCTCCTCCTGTTCTCTTCCACCCTTTCTCCTCCTTCTCCTTCTCCTTCTCCTTCTTTCTCCTTCTCCTTCTCCTTCTCCTTCTCCTTCTCCTTCTCCTTCCCCTTCCCCTTCCCCTTCCCCTCCTCCTCCTTTCTTACTCTATAATTTTTGTGGGTTTTGGTTTCCTAAATAAATTTCATACGTGGATCTCCCCGCGGCGGCTCCGTGGGTGCCTCGTGTCGGGGTCCCGAGGGATGCTCCGGAGCAGGGTGAGGGATGTGGGTTTGGGGTGCAGGGATGCTACCAGGGATGGGGCAGCCCCTTGTCAAGAGCCCTTGTGCTGCTGTCCCAGAGCTGGATCAGGGCTGCAGGGGGGTCTCCCCTTCACACAGCAGAGGGGCAGGATCCCCTCCCTGAGCTGCTGCTCACGCTCTGGGGGTGCAGCCCAGCACACAGGGGGGTTCTGGGCTCAAGCACTCACTGAAGCCGGGTCATGGGGAGCTTCTCCTCACCCAGCACCCCAAGTCCTGCTCCTCAGGCTGCTCCATCCGGTCTCCCCCAGGCTGGGTTTGCCCTGGGAATGCCCAGCCCAGGGGCAGGACCTTGCCCTTGGCCTGGTTGAGATCCATGGGGCTCACACGGCCCCACCTCTGCAGCGTGTCCGGGTCCCTGTGGGTGGCAGAACATCCCTGCCGGCGTGACCGGGCGCAGACTGAAACAGGTTGGAGATAAGGCAGAAGCTCTTCCCTGGGAGGGTGCTGAGGCGCTGGCACAGGGTGCCCAGAGAAGCTGTGGCTGCCCCACCCCTGGCAGTGCTCAAGGCCAGGTTGGACACAGGGGCTTGGAGCAAGCTGCTCTATGGAAGGGGTCCCTGCCTGTGGCAGGGGTTGGAGCTGGATGGGATTTAAGGTCCCTTCATCCCAAACCATTCCCTGATTCCATGACACCCACCTTAGCCCCATGGGCAGGAACCTGACCCATGGGTCACGCTTGCCCTTTGTGCGTGGCTGTGATTCCCCCCACGGACCCTTTCCCACAGCGTTCCGGGATGCAGGATCCTGGGTTCAGCGTCTCTCCCTCCCCTTGCAGAGCTCAGCTCTGCCCATCACCTCCCCATCAGGGCTGTGGTTTCCATCCCAGCTCCAGGCCTGACTTGAGCCATCCCACTAACAAGCAATTCATTACTGGGATCAATGCAGCGCTTTCATCCCAGCCCCATCCGATGGCTTCATCCCAAAGGAAGTCCCTGGTGGCTGTGACGCTGTCACGGGCTGAGCTGCCAGGATTGGGGTGAAACCCTGCCTGAAGAGCCCCCATTCCCCCCCAGCCGTGGTCAAACCCAGCCGCAGAGCCCTGAGCAAAGCCCAGATTGACACTGAGCACGTCCCAGAACAAGGTTTTGGGGGAAACGGTGACATTTCAGCTCCTCTGCCTCTAACACTGACGCCTCCATGCCCCTGGCAACGTCCCTTTGCCCCCCTGGGTGCACACAGGGTGCCACAACAACCCATCAAGCCCCTCACCCCGGCCTCTGGGCTGTACCCATGTGCACCCATGGGTGCTTAAGCACACGGGCTTTGCGTGGGGCTTGTGGCTGCTTCATGCATGTGGATGTGTCGCTTGTGCACAGCGCTGCACGGTGATACAGAGCACTGCACTGCACGGCGCCGCGAGGCACGCTGCACTGCATGTCGCACTGCACAGCACCACGTTGCACAAGCCCCATTGGGCTGCACTGCGCAGCACCACAGAGTGCCACAGAGCACCGCACCAAACTGCACTGCACTGCACAACACTGCACACTGCGCTGCACTGCTCACCACTGTACTGCACAGCACCACATTGAAGCATACCAAACCACACTGCACTACGTGTTGCACTGCGCACCACTGTACTGCACAGCACCACACTACAGATGACATTGTGCAGCACCACACTGCACTGCACCGCAACGTACTAAACCACACTGCACTGCGCTGCATACACCCGCTCTGCTCCACACTCCACTGTACAGCACCGCACTGCGCTGCATACACCCCCTCTGCCCCACACTGCACTGCACACCACGCTACAGATCACATTGTGCAGCACCACACTGCACAGCACCTGCACCATACTAAACCCCACTGCACAGCACCGCACTGCGCTGCATACACCCGCTCTGCTCCACACTGCACTGCACAGCACCGCACTGCGCTGCATACACCCGCTCTGCCCCACACTGCACTGCACCACACTACAAGATCACATTGTGCAGCACCACACTGCACACATTGCACAGCACCGCACCGTACTAAACCCCAATGCACACACCTGCTCTGCCCCACACTGCACCGCACCGCACCACACTACAGATCACATTGTGCAGCACCACACTGCACACATTGCACAGCACCACACCGTACTAAACCCCAATGCACACACCTGCTCTGCCCCACACTGCACTGCACCGCACCACACTACAGATCACATTGTGCAGCACCACACTGCACACATTGCACAGCACCGCACCGTACTAAACTGCACTGCACAGCGCTGCATACACCGGCTCTGCCCCACACTGCACTGCACAGCACAGCACTGCACTGCGCTGCATATACCCGCTCTGCCCCACACTGCACTGCACCGCACCACACTACAGATCACATTGTGAAGCACCTCACTGCACATGTTGCACAGCACCACACTACTAAACTGCACTGCACTGCGCTGCATACACCCGCTCTGCCCCACACTGCACTGCCCAGCACAGCACTGCACAGCGCTGCATACACCCGCTCTGCCCCACACTGCCCAGCACAGCACTGCACAGAGCTGCATACACCTGCTCTGCCCACACTGCACAGCACAGCACTGCACAGCGCTGCATACACCCGCTCTGCCCCACACTGCACTGCCCAGCACAGCACTGCACAGCGCTGCATACACCCGCTCTGCCCCACACTGCACTGCACTGCACAGCACCGCACTGCGCTGCATACACCCGCTCTACCCCACACTGCACTGCCCAGCACTGCACAGCGCTGCATACACCCGCTCTGCCCCACACTGCACAGCACAGCACTGCACAGCGCTGCATACACCCGCTCTGCCCCACACTGCACTGCACAGCCACTGCACAGCGCTGCATACACCCGCTCTGCCCCACACTGCACTGCACAGCACAGCACTGCACAGCGCTGCATACACCCGCTCTGCCCCACACTGCACAGCACAGCACTGCACAGCGCTGCATACACCCGCTCTGCCCCACACTGCACAGCACAGCACTGCACAGCGCTGCATACACCCGCTCTGCCCCACACTGCACTGCACAGCACTGCACAGCGCTGCATACACCCGCTCTGCCCCACACTGCACTGCACAGCACAGCACTGCACAGCGCTGCATACACCCGCTCTGCCCCACACTGCACAGCACAGCACTGCACAGCGCTGCATACACCCGCTCTGCCCCACACTGCACAGCACAGCACTGCACAGCGCTGCATACACCCGCTCTGCCCCACACTGCACAGCACCGCACTGCGCTGCATACACCCGCTCTGCCCCACACTGCACTGCACCGCAGCGCTCACCATCTCCCTGCCAGGCCCCCCCGCTGCCTGCCCCACAGTTGCGAAGCCGCAGGCAGGAAGTGTCACACCCCGCCGGGGCCTGCCTGTCCTTGCTCCTTCCTGCCTGTGCCGGCTTCCTCCTGCCCTGCCCTGCCCGGCCCTGCCCGCTCCCGCCCGGCCCAGCTCCGATCCGCATTTTGGGGCTGCCCGTGGGAATCCGGCTGCGTCCCCTGGCCGCGGCGGCTCTGATTGGCTGCTCTGGTGCAGGAGGCGGGCTAACAGGGGGAGGAGGCCAATCAGAAAGGGAAGAGAGGGAACGCGGGGTGTGCCGGGTCCCCGGGGGTGCGTTTGAGCTCACGGAGGGGGGGAACACACGGACAGGAGTGTGCGGGGAGGGGCTTGTACGTGTGTGTGCGTGTGTGCACGTGTGTGTGTGCACGTGTGTGTGTGTGCACGTGTGTGTGTGTGCACGTGTGTGTGTGCACGTGTGTGTGTGTACGTGTGTGTGTGCACGTGTGTGTGTACGTGTGTGTGTGCGTGTGCACGTGTGTGTGTGCACATGTGTGTGTGTGTGCACGTGTGTGTACGTGTGTGTGTGCGTGTGCACGTGTGTGTGTGCACATGTGTGTGTGTGCGCATGTGTGTGTGCACATGTGTGTGTGTGCACGTGTGTGTGTGCGTGTGCACGTGTGTGTGTACGTGTGTGTGTGTGCACATGTGTGTGTACGTGTGTGTGTGCGTGTGCACGTGTGTGTGCACATGTGTGTGTGTGCACGTGTGTGTGTACGTGTGTGTGTGCACATGTGTGTGTGTGTGCGTGTGTGCACGTGTGTGTGTGCACATGTGTGTGTGTGCACGTGTGTGTGTACGTGTGTGTGTGCGTGTGCACGTGTGTGTGTGCACGTGTGTGTGTGCACGTGTGTGTGTACGTGTGTGTGCGTGTGCACGTGTGTGTGTGCACGTGTGTGTGTGTGCGCATGTGTGTGTGCACATGTGTGTGTGTGCACGTGTGTGTGTGCGTGTGCACGTGTGTGTGTACGTGTGTGTGTGTGCACGTGTGTGTGTACGTGTGTGTGTGCGTGTGCACGTGTGTGTGCACATGTGTGTGTGTGCACGTGTGTGTACGTGTGTGTGTGTGTGCACGTGTGTGCGTGCA